AACACCCCAGCTGACAGTAGTTAAGGAATTAGGAGTAATTAAGTGTATTTTTATGCCACAAATAAGGCCTTGGAGAGATATCAATATGCTAAATTGGGCCTAACAGGGCAGAGTTGTGCTGATATTGTTTTGCTGCTTCTAACACCCAAAGTGATCCTTTATCATGATGATACTACACCCAGTGACCAAGACAATCTGACCACATCCAGGCCAGGTATCTTGACATGGCACAATGTCAACACAAATTCAGCCAAGGTCTCAAAAACCATTTCTAAAGCATGATACAATCCTTGTTTTCATAAGGTCAAATCAGGTTTTTTTCTAATTGAGGGCATCTGGACACCTCTTCCCAAAAACCCTCTGAATCACCAAGCCCAAGGCAGGAATATGATAACTCAGCTGGCAATTTTCCATTCTCTGTCTCTGTTTCTTAAACCACAAGGCTCTTATCAAAACCACAGGCTCCTATCAGAGCAACCAGAAGAGCCCTTAGTCCTCAGGAAAAGGGGATACATCAGACCTAAGAGCAGCTTTTTAAGTGATTGTTAGAATTACACATAGTTACTGGATGCAAAAGAGGAAAAGCTTCATGATACTCAATATCAACATGATTTAACTTGCAAGAGTGTCTAACTGTCATGTCTCCAAATCACAGCTGAAAAATTAAAAACATGATTAAAGAAAGATGATATAAACATCATATACATATAAACATCATATAGAGCAAACACATCAGTGTGCCTACAATAAAACAGCTAATGATGGCCACCTATGAAAAATGTAAGTGAACACACTAAAAAAGCACTAAACTTGTGAAACAAAACCTGCACATCTATTTGTAACATGATGAAATCAAACCAGAAGCTTCACATAGAAGCAAACACTCACTTCCACCTGCACAGCACCTACTGAGCCTTGAATAATAGTCACAGCCTATGTCTGAGTGCTTCCTTCACCAAGGATTTCAGAGAGGTTAAACATTAACTAAACTTCCAAACCAGCAAACAAGAGGCCACTCCATCCATGACTGAAATGCAGTCACATCAAAAAAAACAACAAAAACCCAAAAAGGAACATAGATCTTGATAATCAGCACCAAGTTGGGCTGCAAAGAAAATCCAGAAAGTAAATACTTAAGAACAGTAGACTGAACTAAAATTTACCTAAGATTCCCTCAAAATAGGGCAGAACAGAGCTGAAGATTTCCAACGGTGTCCAACTGACCAGCTGGGCACTCCTTCAATACTGCAGGGACATTTTTCCAAGCCAACAGGAGAACAAGCCTCAATAACCTGACCCATTTCAGCCCTTTCCCTGCTCTGTGAGCAGCTCTATTCCCAACTGATTGGAACTAAGGATGCAGCTGAAGCTCATGAGCTCCTGCAAACCTCCCCAGAGCCAATGGATTGCCAGAACAAGGTGCAGCTACAGATGTTCAGGGTCCAGCTGCAGAGCTGCAGATGAGCAATGCTGAATTTTTTAAATTATCCTAATGACAAACATGCAGGATTTAAGCACAGGTGGTGCTGGTCACCAACAAAGCTCATGGATTTGTAGTAGCCACCATGATATGGACCAAAACATTTTAAATCAAACTCAAAGAGTTGTTGTTCAGACAAGGATGGAACCACTGCAGTCTTCCCCACTCAAAAACATGGCAGAGTACCCCCAGGCAGCAGCTCTGATTTTTAGCCTCCTAAATTTTAACAAGTACAGCTGGGCCAGCCCGACCTTCTGGAATCCAAGATTTATTATGCTTAAGGGAAACATAAAGAAATCTTGCTAGTTCATAAAGAAGCCCTGATGAAACACAAGACAAATAGGTGCTCAGGGTGAACCAACACACTCACAAAAAGATAAATCAAATCTCTCTGTACACATGAAACTTTTCCTTCTTTCTCACAGAACAGCAAACTTTGCTTATCTGCAGGAAGCCATTATCCTGCTTCCTCTAAAAAAACCCCAAAAACCTGGGAGCAACAATCATAGAACAACCTTTAAATCCACCATCTGTGTGCTTGTTTAGATTTCTAATCTCTATAGGAAATATAGCCATTAATAACTATTTGATAAAACAGCTCCTTTCAGCATTATGGCCCTAGACTACAAATGTTAACTTAGATTTTCCAGGTTAAGTGTCTGTAACTGAAAGGAGGAAGAGAACAAGAGAAAGGGAAAGAGGATAGAGCTTGGAGAAGTATGGAGGATGAAAGAAGACACGATGGAGAAAAGTAAGAATAGAAAAGTCTAGAAGTTTTCAATACATTGAAGCAATTACCAGAGTTTCTGTTTATCAAGTACAAACACTGACGATGAGTCCATCACAAACTCACACAAACTGAAACATCCATAGCTTATCAAATCAGAAATCTATTAAATATCAAATACTGAACAAAGCAAACACAGAAATCTTACCCCTGTGCTGTTGATACAGAGGATTCCTCTTTAGCTTCACTGTTTTCTAGTTCTCCCAGTACCCACTCAGGCAAACAGCCTGAGCTATTGCTCACAGCTCCTGCTGTGCTTAGTTCTTCAACAAAAGTTGTCTGTAATGAGAATAAAAGCAAAACCAACAAAATATATTTGCACCAATACATTCTTTACACAGTTAAAAGTTGTTCCTTACAGGAATATCTGCAGTAAAAACATCCTTTTTCCAGTGAAGGCAGTGACAGATGCCACACTCCCAACCCATGGAAATTCATACAACAGGCAACAGTGTGAATGTTTTCCAGTACTTTACTTCCTTCAGTATGGGTAATCTTAGCATAAATTAGGATTGTTATCCCATTAAAGCTGATGCCAGCATCGACACACTATATTCAGGTCTTCAGAAAACAAACTTAACAAGCTTAACAACATCTGTGTGAACAGCCATCTTATCTTTCACAGATACACAGCCTCCTATAATCACCTCTAATTATTAAAGTCACCACCTTCGAGCACATTTTTCCTTTCACAAAACTGCTGATTAAGACAAAATAAAGCCTCAATGGCTTTTTATTACATATTTTCAAAGAATCAGAAATTGTTTCTTCAGAACACTGATTTTTATAAGCCTTCTAATCTGAATTTTGAAGAAGATAAAGGTTTCATAAGAGGTTTTGCCCATTAAAAGATTTTCCCAACATCATTTTTCACATTCGTGCCAAATCAAAGAGGCAGATGTATCTTGAGGGTATATCTTTGTTTGTCTCACACTCACCATGTAGGAAGGTAAACTTTTCAGCAATCCTTGTTCTGGTTTTTGTGCAAAAGGTCCCTCCAGGACTCCTTGTTTCAGCATGTGGAGCAAAAGTTTTGCATACGAGTTCCGATTCTTCCTTCCCTCTAATCCTACCCCTGCTCCTGAGGGTCTGCAGAGTTTTTTAATCCACAGTGCACATATTCTTCGTTCTGAAAACACAGATATACATCCTCATTCTACATTTTCAGAGCAAATCAAACACATTGAAGAAACAGAAGCCATCACTGGTCACCAGTTTCACGGGTGTCTCCCTTCTACCCAAAAGTTTAAAGCAAAACAAACCAACCCAAATGACCAAACCAAACAAAAACAGTTAAACAGATTATTTATAAGTCTTTAACAACAGTTCAAATTTACATATTCCAGAAACCTTTTCTATAAATTCATGTTTACATCACTTCCAGAAATGGCATGTTTGGGAATCAATCCCTAACAAGGACAGAAGACATAAATCACCAGGAATTCTGCAATCACTGCAAAAGCAGCCATTAACTACAACTTACAGCCTGCATGAGCATTAATAGTTTAAATACATAATAAATATTCATTAATTAAAAAAAATAATCTGTATTTACACAAGTTTTGCTACCAGATGATAAAATTATTCATTTGGTTAAATGTTCACACAGAAAGGTCTTAATTTGTAGGGTATGTGGCTTTAATAATAACCAGTTGGCTGGAAAAAAAAAATAGATTTATAAAAAATTATTTACTAATTGATTGTCCTATTATTACACATTCCTAACCAAATTTTAACACCTTTATAACTAGAAAATATTTGTAAGGGCCATCTCAAAAACAATGCCTTTAAGAAGTTTTCTGTTTCTACAGCATTAGTTTTTTAAAAAGAAATACTAATGTGTTTATGCAAAAAGCACATTCACATCGTGATGATAACACAGATAAGCTCAAACAATTGCAGAAAGTATCTAAAAAAATCCACCTTCAGAAGTTGGACAAACCCTATGTCAAAACCATGCCATAACAGACATTAAGTTTCTGGCTATATACAAGTATATGGATACAAAATAATAGTTATCAGTCACCTAGAATTCTGTTATTAGCCTTTAAATGCACATTTTACCATATTTACCAGAACTATCCTGCAGCTTTAGAACATAAGGCTTCATAGCCACAATATAGCGATTCAATTCTGTATCCAGTTTTTCAGAGATTTCGTCTTCGCTGCTCATTTTGGAAGAACATTCACCACATCGGAGGGGAAAAGGTCAAAAATCCACTTTACATCAGCCTGTCTTCACCTCGGGGCCCCGCAAAGACATGCTTGGAAACTACGCAGGAAACAAAACTAGATGTGTTATTGCGCACAAACAAACACGAAACTAAGAGGGATTGTTTGCAAACAGCAGATACGAGAATGTGTTTGTTTGGGTTTGAAATTGAACCTCCAACCACGCGCTAAATGTATTCATTACACGCAATTTGTACAGAGCACCTCGAGGCGCTTGTGTGGTACCGCGTTCCTAACCTGGTACTCCTTAGGATTAGAGCGGGTTTTTTTTAAGGCAGAGGGGGAAAAAAAAAAAAGGAGAAACTAGTAGAAAGACTGGAAACCAGAAGCAAGTAGAGGTATGGTTAAAAGCGGCAGAACCAAAAACGTTGTCAGGGCTGGTTTTTGAGGAAGCGGCGCTGCAAAGACAAGCGCTCATCACCAAACTGTCACAGAACCACGGAGCTGGAAGGGACCCAAAAGGATCATCGCGTCTTAAGTGAATCGCTGTTAAGTAAATAGATGGGGATTGACCCCGCAACCTCGGTGTTATCAGCACCAGGTCTGACCAACCGAGGGTCATTTCCCAGCTGGAACCGGGGACCGTTTTTGTGCATTTCACCTGCAACCCGCACGTCCCTGTGCCCGCCGGAGCCGCTGACGGTCCCTCCCCTGCGCACAGACCCGTCCCCATCATCCCCATCCCCTCCCTCCCTGCCCCGAACCGCCCGCGGGCACCTCCCCGGCCGCTGCCCCTTTACCTCGGGAGGGCAGAGCCGGGCCGGGACCCCCGAACGGGGGAAGCAGAGCCGGGCTGAGCCGGCGGGTCCCGGCCCCGCTCGGGGCAGGCACGGCCGGGCTGAGCCGCGGCCGAACGTTCAAACCGGCCCCGCTCCCGGCGGCCCCGCGGGCCCCGCGCGTTTCCGTTTCCGCGGGTTACCGGCGACACGGCCCGGCCAGCCCGGCCTGGAGCCCCACCCGAGCACGGCCTGGAGACAGTGGGTGGGCCGGGGGAGCTGCTGGTGCCCAGAAACCTTCACGGGGAGAAACCGCTTGGGCTTAATTACAGTGCGTGGGAGCCGCGGGGGAGGCACGGCAGGGGCGCGGTCACTGCCTGAGCTCGGTACGCCATCAGGCGCTGATCTCCCTGCGAGCAGGGACAGGACCGGAGGGAACAGCCGGAGCTGTGTCAGGGCAGGGTCAGGTTGGATCTCAGGGAAAGGTGCTTCCCGCAGAGGGTGGTCGGGCGCTGAACAGGCTCCCCGGGGCGCTGGTCACAGCACCGAGGCTGCCAGAGCTCCAGGAGGGTTTGGATGATCCTCTCAGGTGTGAGGATCACCTGAGGATCCACCTCTTGGGGATGGTTCTGTGCGGGACCAGGAGATGGACTTCACGATCCTTGTTCCAGCTCAGGATGTTCTGTGATTCTGCAACATCTCTACCCCAAAACCCACGGGTTGCACTTCTTTTGTAGCCGTGCCAAGAAAACCGAAAAGAAAGATCCAGAAGAAGGAAGGAAGAATCCCAAAGAATCAGAGAAATCTCCCAGTCCTTTGAGCTCTTCAGTCTCTTCTTCAGTCAATGATTGTGTGTATGTGCAATCCCAAATAAAACCTCTGGCTGACTCATCTATTTCTCTTTCCCCCACAGTCTGTCACGGGCCTTACTGCCTGTGTAGCACCTAAAGCGCTTTTATCTTGAACGAACAAACTCTTCAACTCCCCTAAGCTTGATTCGCACGCACACGCACATCAAACAAGAAATCCTTAAGTGTAGGGTAGAAAATTGGCTGTTTTCTTTGATTTCTCAGCTAATCTTCAGCAGAAGTGACTCCGTGTTGAGGCTCACTGGGTGATAGCTCTGACAGCTACACCGGTGCCTGCTCAGGTTGCCTTAAACCCACATTTGCATGGAAGCGCTGCAAAAATCACTGATGGAATATTTCATCCGCGGTCAAATCTCATGAGTATGTTACAAAGATGATTTATTACCTTTAAGTTCCAAATTTAAAATATTTGTCATTTAATATAATGTGGAAGATGAGACTGCTTTTCGTCTGGCTTAAAACCACAGTGGATTCTTGCAGCACAGTGACACTACCAGGTGGCTGAACTTGCCAGACTTCTCTGAATCATCACCTCAGATAACCAGATTTGTCAGGGGAATTTTGTAGTCAGTATAAAACCAATTTGTCCAAATCATAGGAGACAGAGGAGAGTTCTATTAGTTGCTAGAATATGAAAGGCTGAATGGACTGAAGAATGTGACTCTCCAGGCAGGTTTTCCAGGGGCAGCACATCAGCATGTTGGTCAGGTGATGCAGGGAGAGGTTTGCATTTCTGTCCAGCTTTGCAAATCTGGTTTTCACCATTGAAAAGGGGGGCAATTTCTAAGCCACAACAACCTTTTTGTATGTTGTTATTCATTGATTTGTTTCTGCACGTTGCCTTCAGATTTGAGTATGTCCCTGTCATGCTCGTCACAAAGTACTTTGAAAAAACTGAATTTGCAGGAATATGGTGAAAAAGAACATGAGGCCGAGCAGAACCAATGAAATTGGAATTGCTGCTCCAAGAGAAATTTCCTGAAGGAATAGCTCCAGTTTCTGGGTCTGCTTACCAGTGCAGAGCAGGGTGGCCAGAGAGGTTGAAGCCTACCTGCAGTGATTTGATAACTACATAACTTCTGTCCAAAAACATGAAAGAAAAATAAAAGACTGAAGAAATTACTGAGGTCTTGTCTCCAGCCAAAATGCAGCCTGGACGTGAGGAGCACTGATGTGCACTGACCTTCCTGAGAAAATCACTGTTACAGAACACAGAAATATCCCAGCCAGAATACAGAATACTCCCAATTTGAATTGTAAAAATATGACCATTTAAGTAAAACACATTCAGCTTTTTTTTTTTCACCTCATTTTACCATGTCCTCTTATCTCTGTAACTGTCTCAGCAGGTTGCCACAAGTAACATGAACACAGCTTAAGGCATTCTTTCAAACACCTCAAAAAAAATAAAAAGGGGGGGGGGTGGTGGAAGAAAAAGGCAGGTTTCACTGCCTCCTACCAGCCTCTGGAACACTTCGAGTTGCAAGACATTATTTTTCAGACCTTCTGAGCCAATCTTTCATGTCTGCAAAGTTGTGATTCACAAACACCTCACTACTTCAAAGAGTTAACAGGTCACAGATTTATTTTTTTTTCTCCCCCTTCTTGCTTCAGGAGACTAGATAATAAATTCAGCATGTGAACATTGGCTCCTAAGGGTGATCCTTTCAAGTGTTCCAGCACTGCATATCCAGCGAGGAAGCAGGGCCAGCTGACGAGCTCAGCCGTTATCCTGCTGCATGGGAAAGTAGAGGTGGGAAAATTTGCTCAGAAAAAAACCTCAGTTTTCCTGAGGTGACTGTTTTTGTGCAAAACACGAGTCATTTCGGGGCCAAGCAGCATTTTGGTGGCAGGGAATGTTACACCAACCTCAAGGGTTTACCGTGAAACACGAGTTAATATTAAACTGTGTTTGGTATCTCAGCGACCGTCCCGATCCCAGAGAGGGATCCACACATTTCCAAACTCATTGGTTCCTGCCAGCTGGTTCATGGATGTGTTAGAAGAAATTGTGGATATCCTGGCCTTGTCATTCAAGAATCCCACTTTAACATGTTGGGAACCAAAACACAGCACACACTGTACCAATGAAATACCCACTCCAGTTGCCAGCATGAATTCGTCTGTCTCTACATTAGAGAATTAAACTGCTGATGAGTACAAAGTATTAAATACTTAATAATAGCTGCCTCCATCTCTCCTTAAAAGTAGGAAGCATAAGGACAAATTATATCAGTCATACTATTAAAATATTCATATGCAGCCTTCAAAAATAAAACAAGAAAAAAGATAATTAGAGTATGTTCAGGGTTGTTTAATGGCAGCTGTAGCATCTTAAAAGTAGTTTGATCTTAATGTTAAATGGTTCTTTTAAAAGTTCTACAGTAGCTTGCATGCTGTGTAACTTACTTATGCTTTTAATCAGAGAAAAGGCTTTTATACTGCAGAGGGAACCATGTATATGACTCATGACAATTCATTATATGTGCACAACAAGTATTTCTCTATCACTTTCTAGTATGTTGAAATCATAATTACTTTTTTCTGAATGGAAATACACATATAAGCACAAAACTTGTCAGATTGGATCATACCAGTGAGCTGCCTGTATCATAAATCAAATTAAAAGTACAATTTACTTCAAAGCTGCTTAATGACCAGAGATCAGTGCTGTTGCTCAATAAAAAAAAAAAAGATGAAGCAGTTACATTGTGTAATATTGAAACAGTGGTAAAAATTAACAGTTGTTTAAAACAACAGTTTCAGGTGAAGTTAGAATCTCAAAAAACCGAAATGGTCTTAGTAACTTTTGAATTTCGTTTAAAATATTAAAAAAAATGCTTTATGTGATGTTATTGACATTTAAATCGTGGTTGAATATTTGGCTTCTAAAGTAATTTGGAAATTTCAGTCTTTCTACTTACATAAATTCTGGAAGACCTCAGGCCGTTGACCCTCTGCCTATTCATAATTAAAGGTCCACTCCCTGTCACAGGGGAGTGTTAATGGAATCAGAACCCAGGTAATTACCAATGATTAAGGCCTTTCAGTGTAAATCAGTCCAGAGCTAAAGGATTTAATTGATGATAAGGTAATATTAAATAGGAACACGCTAGTGGCTGAAAATCACTTTATTGTAAAGCGACTGCTATTGAGGAAGTCATTTACAGTTGTATAAATTTTGGAAATATCAAAGAGAAGCAGCACTGCAGGGATGTGGAAGAAGGCAGAGAAGAGAGAATGGAGGTTAATGGCTGAAATAATGTGTCATAGCTTGTGGAAGAGGCTGGTGGGGATTGTGGGAGGGAAAAGGTGAGACTGCATTCCTGGAGTCTGGAGTTCACCTGGAAGTTTACACTTCCGTATGTGAAAGGCTCTGTCTCAGTAAGGCAGAAATTTAGGACTGTATTATTTCTCTCATTCACGCTTCATCTTCACATGGTTTCATGTCTGATGGGTCCTTCTTCACGAGAGTTGAAAAAAAGCCACGTTCTGTTGGAAACAAGAACTTGGGTTAAATTCTTGAAACACGTCTGAAACCAACTCTTTGCATTGTAGTAAAACATCTTGAAGAAGTGCACTGATTGCAATGAAAGCTAAGCTACTTGCCTCAGAAGCCCTGCCAAATGTGAGGGAAGATGTTTTCATGGGGGGTGGTCTGTGCTTTTCCTCCACTTTCAAATGAAAATAAAACTTACAAGGAAAATTCTGTGCAAGGAATGTTGAGAAAACAAACACAAAACATTCCCTTTTCTAACAAACATGGGTGTTGGCTGTTTATTTCTTCTAAAAGCCTGTGTGCCTGTGAAGCAGTTCCTCCAGCATCAATTCCTCACCACAGCTATATCAGCTGCTTTTTATCACTCTTGGTCCAAAGTGTGTTTCTGATCAGCATAAGGGGGGAATAATTCAGCAAAATAGGAGGGAAAAATCAGGTTCTTGAGGCTGCAGCAGTGCTCAGGTTCTTTACCCCTAGAGAAGGTGCTGATTCAAGGATTCATGAAATCCCAGAATACTTTTACCTATGGCCTTTTCTTTGGGCTAGACCACCTTTAAATAGCACTTTCTAGAACAGGACAGGAATTAAAGCAGGGCTTTGATGTATCCAAAAAAAAAAACTTATGCTGTGCGTTATTTCCTTCTCCAAAACACCCAATAACTCCAGTCCAAGGCAGATGAATTCACCACTCAAAGAGGGCTTGAGGATGAACTATGACACTGCCCCCCACGCTAAAGCACTTGTGATTCCACACCAGAAGCTGGTTTGGGATCAGCCTCGGTCCTACCTTTGAAACAGGCAGGGAGGGTGAAGTTGCCATCCACACACGCCACGTCCACGGTGTAGGCACAGGATTTTTCCTTGTTCTTGCAGAAGAAGGACACGGTTTCCCCGTGCAGAATGCCCTCCTTGAGGTCGTTCTGAACTCTCTTCTTCTCCCCATTGTATAACACCACAGCTTTCTTAACTGGTATCTTACATGGTGCTGTAAAAAAAAAGCAGTTATAAGGAAGATGTAAGGATTTGAAAAGGGAAGGAGTAGATGCCATCAGATTCCTGTACAAGTGCCATTTTGGAATGAAAAACAATGTGTCCCACATATATCTGGAGAACTTCTGCTGGTATTACAATGCTGAAGAAATTCAGACCCCGAAGCAGAGGGTCAAAAGTTTCCAGTGGAAATCCAGCCTCAGCAAAATTTCTAATGATATTAAATAGGAAGAGGAGAGGAAAACTCAGACAAAAAAAAGTTATGTGGCTGATTATTGAATTCAATTCAGATGCATCATTCGTACATATAATCATACCATTCATGCCTACATTCATACAATGTTCAATGTTGGGAGTGGTCTTAGATTATCAGGGCCTTGCAATTATGATTTTGGTTTCCTTTGGAGGGCAGCTCCTGCACAGAGCAGTGAGGAACAGGCAGAGTCTGAGAGGAAAATTCAGTTTTCTGTGGTTTCTAACAGGTGGTGTTGTGCATACCTCTACAAATCGGTTTTGTGGACCAGTTTCCAGACTTTT